AATATAAACTTCCAATTTTAATGACATAGACAAGCAAAATAAATTCCAATATTTCAATGCCATTCCAGTTTAAGTGCTATTTTATAATTATCAAAGGTACGGACATAACTAATATTTTCGCATCAATGTCTCTAATCTCATACATATGTGAGGGATACTAGAGGTATGTTGCCGCCAAAGAAAACAAAAACTTTTTGTTACAAGTAAGTGATTCTTTTTGAATAATGAATGAACTTACTATATGTATATTTAAATCAAATAGATAATGCCATTTCTATATACTTCCGTGATTGTAAAGAGTTAAGACACAAGTGACTTTTAACTAATAAGTTTTATAATATGTCCTATTAACTTTCTGTGTGGAACAGATGGTAAACAAAAATATCAGACGATTCACAACATACCATAATCTGATACAAATCACTAACCTACATATAGACGTAATTACAACGACATCTGTCAAATGCCACAAGTCTAATTGGATTTACAGATTGCGAAATTTATGAGAAATGTTTGTTTAGCCGTTAACTATCTCTATTTTAGTTAAATTTAATGTCACTATAATTAGGATTATCGTTTATGTTTAAAAAAAATAGAGAAAAGAATTATTCAAAATTATTAATATAAATATATTCGTGAAAAAAACTAAGCGGTAATTTCTCCATTTCTAAATAACTATGAATAAAATCAGTGTGGTGACGTGTCGCAACTCTTTATTTGTCATGTATGAATTACGGAATCCATCGCTGTGAGCACAGTTAAACACAACCGGTCGTTGTGTAACGATTTGTATTCGTATGTAACGTAATTCTACAATAAAATTCGTCACACCCACATAACGTCAGCTAGCACCTCATCTTTTACTACGCTTTGTAAGCTTTAATAAGACAACAAAATCATTCGATAATGAATATGCACGATACATATATAATTACTTACATTTTCAAATTTCATATCACTGTATAGATAGTATTCGTTGTTTATGGTAAAAAGCTTTTCTTCTAATTAAGCTTACCAAGTCAAATTATTCCAAAGTTTATTGAGGACAAAAAATATAAGAACAACCAATTGTTCACTAAAAATTGCTGTAAAATCTAAGATAATAAATTTTAAATATAATTTCAAGGTATAACTAATTTTTCCTTTTGTTGCACAATCTGAATTGTTGCACAAAATTGCAAGTGTCACACTTTTTTGTACATATAAAAGACTTCAACGAGTTCAACGACATCGAATTATTTATAAACTAGTCAAGTAATTCGTTATAAATCACCTCAGGTACGCAAACGCAAGGTAAAAAGTTGTCTAAAAATAATAAATTATTATATGTGTAATAAAAATATTAAGGAATGTGAAACTTTGACTTCAAACTTGGGCTTTTCTTTCACAATGTGCATATATCGTAAATAGATTTCTCATTGTATTGCTTCAGAGAGGAAATGCACTTCCATTCTTTAAGCACTGTGGCTTGGAATGTTCGTAGATAAAACGTAATGAATGAATGCGCTTCGCCAGTGTTAGGGTCAAAGCGCCGACCGGTCTGCTCACTCTCCACTAGAGACTTTCATTTCCGTGAACTCACCTATGTTTCTGAACTTGTATGTACAGTAACGTAAGCGATTGACAAATATTTCACTTAACTCATTGTTACCCACGCATGTACGCTAGCGAAACAGGTTGTGTGCTTGTCGTCGAACTTGTAAGTACATAACATGAATGCACTATTTCTACCGTATGTATTAAGGTTTTAATACACAACGTTCTAAAATAAATTAATATTGTAACTTACTGCTTGGTAAGTCAAACGAACCCTGTTATAAAACTTACTCATTAAACATGTCAACGAAAATAGATGTATTATTTTTTATATATTTTATATTTTAATTAAAATTATTTGTTACATGACATAAAAAATCTTTTACATTTAATGAAGCATCATAAAGGCACGCTAAGTACTATTTATTTTAAATAATCAATTGATACGTCTCCAATTAATAAATTATCCACATTCATTACTCATAACGAAACAAGTGAACCGAATGACGTATGTTTCTTGATTGCATTGTGAACTTGATGAATTTCATCATTTATAATTATTAAAAGGCGCCTAATCAAAGACTGTCAAACGAGGTGCGGCACCTTTTGTATTGTAATCATGTTCGTTAAGTAGGATGTCATTTATAATGATACGCTGAAAGGTCAACAAAGGTCATAACTTGATTAGTAACTCAATAGGTAATGTTAATATCGTGAGAACCGTGAGAACCTTTTTCATACTTAAAGGGATATAAGAAAATATAAAAATATGAAACATTGATTTAATTCGGATTATACGTTTAAATTACGCATTCAAATAATGCATTTTTGTTTAAAAACAAGACGCTATAGTATTTTCCAGTCTATTTTGTTTCAATAAAATTAACAAACAACGTTTTCAGAATTGGGGTAAATTTTTTAAGCCGTTTCTAAAATCTTAATATGTATATAGTAAGCTCTACCTATAATGAACTTATATTTATGACCGTACTTAAAGAAGTCGGACAATTTACATAAATCGTTAAGTACTAAACTAGATGCTTCGTTAAAAGTTTGACCGTAGCTTTGCTATTACATTAATGAAATTCGAATTTGCTTCTTCAGATGATAAATTTATTAAAATTTTGGTTATAAACTTATGAAGATCATTTATCAAACATCATAGAATTGAATTAAAAAGAATTTATTTTACGTATATTATTATTTAGAAGTTATTTTTAATACTATTGTTGTTTTTTAGTATTGTTTTAGTTTAACAAGAAAGACGTGGAATCACTAATTTATGAAAATCTTGTTTTCTCCAATACGTTCAGAAGCTTTGTTGTTACTTCGAAAAATATTGCTTAACTTTATGTTAATGAGCTTTAACTTATCGGGAATGTTCTTGATCGAACTAGCATTCCCTAATCATCGTTCTCAGTGGTTAAGTTACCACTGAAGAGGAACTTAAAACATAAAAACTGTATTATATAATAATATCTGTGAATTTTTTAATTAAATTATTTAAATCTTTTACTTAGGTGATTATTATCCTTACATGCTCAATAGTTAAATTTAATTATTGTATTATTTCGAACAAAAAGTATAATAATATTATTAAAGAAATACTTTAACATTTGTCACTATGGTGACTAAAGTTACTGACTAAATGTACTGATTTTGTATTTCGAATTCTATATTTTTTTTTCTCTAAAAACAAATTTTCTTTGATCGTCTTCATGTTATGGGCTTTGAGCGTCAAATATCCACAAAGTCGTGATTACGTTGCTTAAAAAGATGTCACGTGTTACAGGCGACAGTTCTAACGCTTCGTAGGCTTTCTCCGCCAACGTCATTAACATACGCACTGTACTGTTTGTTTAAGAATTTCACCATCGCACAGCACATTCTGCCTGTGCCGTCTACCAAACGCCTAATTACACGCCTCTTAGTTATTGTTTGTTTGCCTTTAATGTTTATTGCCATACGTAACGCCATATCGCAAAACTTATACATTGTAGTACGTACATAATAAGCATGTGTTTACGAGTACATCGCTGTATTTAAATTAAATTACGCATGTATATAGTGTATTTACATAAAAGTGAGTTATGTAGAAGAATTATTAAGTTACAAGTTATATAACGTAAGTATATTTAAATGAAAAGCATAACATTGCATATTTTGAAATTATAGAAGTGAAAGAAAACTTCCGATATTTTTTACATTCTCATTAAGTTATTTAAACATTGCTATTTCAAATATTTTCATTTAAAATTCCGTTAAATTAAACAAATTAAACTAGTATATAGTTTCAAATGGATACATTAAAATACGTCGTCACATTTTTAAGCATGCGTGGGTGAAACATTTCACCAGTCAGTAGGGACAAGTCGAATAGAATTAAGATAAGAAATAACGATGTAAATAAAATAACGGCAATGAGGAACGATGCTGCCTGATATCATCAATCTACAGATGCATTAGATTAAACCAACTGGCTATGGCTAACGAAACCACTAATGGTATGCGGTCGCATAAAAAATTAATGAACAACACTATATACGACGCGCGGGCAAAGACGGTCTCTATATTGACATTTGAATGTTGTTCTTGCATTGGCCTCTTTTAATATGAGATAGAACTTAATTATTTTAGTTTAAACTCTTATTATTTAAAATTGAGGCGTAATAATATTTCTGCTTAGATTGATGAGCGTTATCAATAGTCTCAACCGACGAGCATTTATAATTGTAGCAGAGTTGAGATAGTTGTACCAAGATGTTAAATGAAAGTCCGTAGTCCCTGCCCTACCCCTAGCGGTTACTAAAACACGTGTCTGATATGCATCGGTTAATATTTTGCGTACTACGAGAGAATGTATGACGCTACCTCAGTTCAAGGGCAAACTTCAGCGCCGACACTCACTAATGAAAAAGCTTTTATTCTCGTCTCGAGCTTTACTGAAGTTGTTTAGTAGCTGTCTTGTTTACAGTTCAATGTCGGTTAACATAGTAGTCAAATAATGTCGACTTAATTTGATACCTTAAACCCTGTTACTGTCCAGTTTGATTGATGTTGTACATATTTATTAAATATAATATTATAAAGGCTAAATAATGATAGTATAATATATAACGTGTATTACGAATTACATTTCCAACCAAAATACTCAAACGTAAGTACTGTTAGGAAGGAAATCCGACACTGTGCCGGTGTATCAGCGCAACACTAGCCTTATTAAAATATTAACGTTTATGTCCCCTCACTAATGAATCTGACACTTGACTTGGTAACGAAAGCACGCCATTCACGCTAAAGGATTCTAACTAATAATGTCTAAAAGTACTAAGAAGTATCAAGTTATAATAATAAACTTACTTTTTGTACCTTTTCATGATTTTCCGAAAAAAATGTCACATTTTAATTTAGTATGACGATTAGTACCTAGTATCTAAATGTTAAATCCAAGTATCAGGTGCAAATTAACATAATTTATGTAAATTCTCTTTGTCCAGTGGCGGCATGTAAAGTAGCTGCGCGAGGTTGTTCCTGGCGTAGCGGCCGCGCTGCGGTGCGCCGTGCCCCGGCCGGCCCCACCACGATGACCACGTCGCGTGGTGACGAACCACTCTCTCCGCAGAGTCTCTCCTGCTCTCCTGGTAACATAGAAGTAAAATTATAACAAATTAATTTGAGAAAACCTCTATCGTCTCTACATTTTTCGCTGTTTTTTCGTATTACTTAGGACAACTACTGCTACCAATCATTTATAGGATATACTATATATTTCTTACGGTGAAGGAAAACATCGTGATGCGACCTGTACATAACTTTATCTGGGTAGGGTAGGCTGCGATCACCTCGGTGGCAACTTAATTTTTTTCTCTGTTTACTTATACTTCGGTACATTTAAATCCTGATATTAAACTTAATTAATACAGACAAATAACACATACTTCCTTAAGTACGGATTTCGCCCGCATTTGCTGTTTCAACTGTTTTAAGTAGTCAACATCCAATATTTCGCGCCATCTAAAAAGTCACCAATAAAAATTACGTTATATTTTGTTATACATTATTTCATATTATTTGTAAAGACGTATACATTTTCTCTACATAATTCGATACAGCGATTTTCACTCATTGTTTCCAAGCAAAATTAAAAAAGAAAGCGTCCTGAGTCACGTATGTATGCGAAATGTCACCGCGTGGGCGTATCCCGACGTTTAGTATTATTAAAAAAAAAATATTAGTCAAAGTAAAAATTAGGATAGATTTAGAATCACTTATCATATCCTTAAAAATACTTTTGATTTACCGTGTATTTTAAACAAAAAAAAATCGTGTATCACTTAGATACAAAACAAATCGCAATCGTGTTACACCTTGTGCTAAGATCAGACGTGTAATGCAATTTTTGTTCGATTTAAATTTTTCAAACTTAATAGTTTGGTTAATATCATCGTCAAACGTATGAAATTTTCTTTACACTAACTTCATTCACTAGCCGGTAAACTTCTTTGAACCTTAATCGCAATTAAGAAAGTGGCAAAGCTATCAATAAAACTTTCGCATGGGCCATAAAAAAATATTTATGTCCTACCGAAATGATCAAAGGGCTAAAATTCATATGTTCATATAACTCCACCCATAGAAAGCTAAGAATGATGCAATACCGTCAGATCGATGATCGCTTGACATTCTTGTTGCCAGGGTGTGTTCTTACTCATACAAACAATACAAACATCACACGTCTACGTGTACAAATAGTATTGTCCGAATAGAATGAATAACGAATCATTGTTAGCACCCGACTGCGACTACAAAAGAAGTGATTTATTTTATACCAGTATCAATTACTATACTGTATTTCTTTATGCATCATACATGTCTTCATGCAGTGTAATCTGTTCCTTTAAAATGCCAGTGTCTACATGAATTTCGTCATCGCGCGTTTTTAATAATAAAGAAATTTGATAAATTTCCGCATGCATTAGCTTCCGTCAATATCGGTTCACCCGTTTCTGAATTAGCAAAAACAATTGCGGACGTGGAGCGAGACAGACAAAAATGTAAACAATAGGTTTTTAATTCATGTTCACGAAATATGTTTTTTTCAATATTACATACACACACACTTCAATTTTATTACTTTTATAAATATAATTTCTATATTGTCATTCCTTTAAAAAAAGAGATAATAATATTTTTCCTAAGGTACTTATATTTCAGTGTAAAAACTCACAATTCTTAAAGACGGCGTCCAATAGTACAGAGTTGTACACTTTTCTCCTCCGCGCACAACAATTAGGCTTTATCTATTATGTATTTAGTTTTTCCATAAATTAAATTAATATTAAATTAGGTATTTGTTAATCTAAAGCTATTGATGAGAAAAGAATCTTTTACATTACAAAACGTTTGATTGATGAGCTACTAAGTATCATATTGCCAGTTTACGAAAGATTATAATATTTTTTGTATGAAACGCCGGAGGGACATAGCATTTAGAAAATTTTACATCACCTATTATGAGTTGCGTGTTAAATTAATATCTACAACAATTTAACCAAAAGTCAAAGTATTTTATTAACCTTAATAGTTGTTTTCATTAAAATTGGCACTTATTTAATCTATACTAATATTATAAAGAAGAAACATTTGTTAGTTTGAATTGACATCGAATAGACTGCTAAACTACTAAACTGATTTAAAAAATCATTCATCGTTGGGAAGCGACACTGTCCCCAGGTGACAGGATATATTTATTACGAATTTTACTTTTCATTTTGTTACGTTTTCATATTTGATATGTTTTTAAAAGCGAACGTTCTTTGGATAATTAACTTTACTTTTGAATGAAATATCTTTCATCAGACCCTTCTTCTGACAAAAAATAAAATAAATAATCATTCATTAGTCAATACATATATTACGATATAAAAGTTCAAAGTTTATCATAAAAAATACGTAAAAAGAAAAGGTCAAATGCGACTACATGATGATTAAAGAATTCTTTTTAAGTGTTACGCAGATTCGCCATAAAGCGCAATGTTACATAATCAAAGAATGCCTGTGGCAACACCAGAGATGTCAAGTTGTATTCAATTAAATGACAAAGGATAATGGTCTTTTGTGACTTTGTTAGCATTTAAAAATTACAAATCGATTCAATACTTACTGACACGTCTGCTCCGGGGGTCGTGTCACGTCGCTAGATGGCAATGTACGCGCGCCTACTCGCCTGCCCCGAGCCAGCAGTGGTACAAGTTCTATACCTCCTGTCATTCGCTGTATTGTACCTTCCGGTGTTGGCTTTTTCTCTATTGCATTTGCAGCATTGTCAATATCATCGACAATAGATTTCGTATCCCGCCGTCCATTGCACAATCGTTTAACTTTACCTTGCCGATGAGTTTTATTACCGTTATAAAGACCATTTGATTCTTTTAACGGACTATCGCAGACTTTTCCCGCATCTATGTTAATATTTGGACTTGATTGGTTTGAAATGTCTGGTAATTTTTCTATCGTTGAAGATTTATTCTGTCCATCTGACCCTCGGTCTTTCAAATCATCATCTCTCTTTACAACTGGCAAAGTAAGCGAAGATCTTTTGTAACCATTGTGTTCTCCTTTTAATTTGTCAAACATTTCGTTGTTTGTCCATCCCTGTAAATTATATTTAAAGATGTATTTAAAACCAACCTTTCTAGTAGGATAACAAGAATTACATTCGTACAATAAACGTACCATAGATTTAGAAAAATTCAAACCGATATTTCGAGGGTTCCTCCAAACTACACCACCGGGTCCTGGTTTTCCCCAAGGGCCTGCCATAGTATGCTGGAATAAAGATCAAATATGAACAAACAGCGCCTATTTATATGCGTAAAAACTAGAAGAAACTTACCATTTTACGCTCATACTCTAAGTTGTGTCTCATCTCATCTCTAATTACTTTATTTCTCTCTTCAACCATGTTATCTAAAAACATAAATACATTGAATAGACTTAAGAAGATTGCGATACGGCTTACACGCCGCGGGCGACTTGTACGCATTATTGTATAATATTACAAAACCATTTATCATAAACATACAAGCAAGTAGATGTCACATGTCAGTTAAGAATTAAAATACACGTATAAATCAAAAGTATACTCTAAGTATACAAATATTATACTTTCTAGTTTCTGATATTTTAAATGTTAATTTTCTATTGTTAAGGTGTAATGTAGTGAGGTATGAAAATTTTCTTATTTAAAAGTATAATTTTGATTAAATTTCTGAACCTAATATTTCTTTGTATCTCTTCTTTTGGTCTGCGGTTTGTTTGTATCGTATGTCGTTGTCAACGGCGCGGCGTAGTTGCTCCGCGAAGAACAGCTGTGGGTCCTCTCGCAGACGAACAGGGGCGCGCGCGGTGCGCGTGGCACGCCTTTTAGGGGAAGACCAACGACGCCACTCTTCATACCCCGCTATGCCCTGAAATGTTAAAATTATGTTCATTTGCTTCTTCTTTGGCAATAACTGCGAAATGCAAATTACACAACAACAGTTTTTGATTTCCTGATAACATAAATGATTACTAAAATCAACAAAATTTACATCGAATCGTATAATCTTACACTTTACGATAAGCCGTTCGACTTTAATTAATTTAAAAGTGACATTTTATTGTTTAACCTTTAAATTCTTATCAATGGGAAATATCGCTATAATTGCCAAACATCGTGTAACTAAATACTTTGAGTTAATATGCGACACACAGACGAGTGTTTCGTCAGTGTACTCACTGGATGGGGACACTTTTTAATCGCCATTTTTACGTCATCAATTGACATAAAACACAGGGCGACTGACCTTATATAGATTTATTGCAAAATTTTAGTGGTGACCGATGACATAAAAAGACTGTCACTGAGATGCGACGAGTCTTAAATGAAATAAAATCTTGTAGAAACATGTCTCGACAACATTCTTTTATAACATAATGTACAACAGAACTCAACAAAAGTAATAAGAATAGAAAAAAGTTTTCCTTTACGAAAGTAGTCTCACCCATGCTTTTGATCACTATAAATTGCGTGAAATTGAGTTATGCGCGGACTCTGCTCTCATGCAGACATGTATTTATTACTAATAAATTAATAGAACCTTTATCTCATCATCAGGGTAAATGCCGCGAGCTCGTATATCGGTGAAGCGGAAGCCGTGCTTGTTGGGCGCGCCGCCGCCCGGCTTCCCCCACGGCTCGTATGACGCCAGCTCCTTCAGAGCCTAAACAAATACACGAGAAGATACCTTTAGTAATCTGCATATAGTTAAACAAGTAAACAATCACGCTATTTGAATCGGCTAGTGTAAACTTTGAAATGGAACAAAAAATAAAATAACAATGAAACGAAATAACGTTATTTACCTCATTCTTCCAAATAAAACTCAGATTTACCTGTGAAAATGTAAAAAATTAATAGTTAGCGAATAGAAAACTACCTTCCTCTGCTGCTCAAATTTCTCCGTACGCCGTTGTTGGCGTCGTTGTTGTGCGATGTTCTCTCCCTCCACCCGCGCTCGCACAGCCGCACGTCGCCGCGCCGACCTTGAAGTAGGTACACTTAGCCTTCTGAAAACATCACACGTAACAATAACTATTCCGTTCGGGCTTTTCAGCTCTTCTACTTTTATTCCTTTTTTCTACTAACATTGAAAAAAACTGAAATCAATTATCTCGAACTATTTCTACTTATCAGCGGTATTTTGAAAGAAAATTTTTAACTGGTTCAAATTTAATCGATCAAAGTAGTTATAGTAAAACATGATCTATTGTTAAGAGGGTACTCGAATAATTTTTACATTCCGTTTCATGAAAGTAATTAAAAACTATATCTGATCTAAAATCTTTTTCACGTTAATCACGTTAATCGTGTAAATTATAAGCAATTAAATAGCCATATTTTCATTGTAATTGTAATTCGTACTTCTATTACATAAGCATTATACAAGGAACTTCGATAAAGAATGCACTTAGCTCCCGCGTCTCTATTAACCTGACTCATCAGTTGTCGCGGTGTGATCTAATCTCAATAGAAAGCGGAGGATAACGTAACTTGCAAATTAAGTCAATCTTGTTTTACATATTTAGGCTTATAATCTAAATTACCGATTAAATTATCACAAATTTATTAAAATTTAATTATTGACATAAAAAAGTCAGCTAGAAAATGTTAAAATTGAGAGCTTTATATTTATTTCAAAATACGGAAAAGTGATGCATAATTAACACATATTTTAATGTTTATCGATAAAAATAAAATGTAAATAGTCACAACAGATATTCAAACAAATAGTCTCGATATCGAAGCGTAGAAAGCACAATATAAGGACCATATCTATCGCTAAATAAAATTTACATAATTTTTAGACCTCCTTTAAATAAATACTTAAACGCTTACATAAATCGATGTCAAACTTTTACATATAGATAAAGTATATTAGCATTTTTATTGCTTCCGTTACACGTATAAATATTTTATATTATTAATTTTTTTAAATCTTACTTACTATAATGTTATAAATGCGCATGTGTGATGGATGGATGTTTGATTGAAGGTATCTCCACAACGTCAGAACGAATCGCGATAAAATTTGGCATAGATGTAGAACATAGTTTGGAAGACCATTTATTTTTCTAGCTAATTTTAATTAAGAATCAAAAATACCAACCTTCTTAACTGATATGTCTTCGATGCAAACATTTACACATCGAGTTCTCATAACTTAAAAAAATTGTAGCCAAACTTGTAATCATTAATGAATGTCACACATTTTCACTATTATCACAAGTGCAATAAAGTTAATTAATTAAAAAATTGAGCTTAAGCTCTGAATGTCGTAATCGATATCAATTGAACAATGTAAGGATTAGAAAGCTCTTGCAATCGTTTTGATTGAGCTTTCGCAAATAACTGGCAACTTCTGATTCTGAAACGACCTCGTGTAAATCGTGAAGGTATGCACGCTACAGCACGCGTTTCCATTACAAACAATACGACGACACGATATTTTTTTTCGTAAACATTTTTCTTTTCGGACCTTATTTTGAATAAGCTGTTATAAGATTAAATGCCAGATTTCTAAAAAGTACAATATTTGTCTAAGAAAAGGTTTTTAATGTTATGATTCGTATCGTTAATATCACAATCTTTGTAAGTGACGTGTTATGTCAATCATTATGCCATTTACTTACTTCTAATTTTAAGTTGAATAAAGCCTAATAAATGGGTATTGTCTTTTAATATATCAATTTATTCAACTTAAAATTAGAAGTAAGTAGAGACATGTCAACATTGTTGTAACACTAACCAGTTTAAATATTTGTACTTAAATAACGTTTTACTTACATGTTTTTCATTGACATTGTACGAATTGTATATCAAAGAACTGTATAGCTTACGGAAACTAACTACAAATAATGTCTAGTTTGAATAACATAACGTTGCTTTTCAAATTAACTAAATGTCACATGTCGCATTTATAAGTTTTCATAACATCACTAAAATAACTTTGATATTTGTATTTTTACAAACATCTAATCAATCAATAAAAAATTATAATATAATTAAACTGTATAGAACAACTTAAAATCATTTAGTAAAGACCTGATCCTATCAAAGCTAGAATATAACTGAATACGCTCATGATATTTATCGCTTGATACAGACACGATGCAAACATTCATTAGGGTACTTGAATAAAACACCCTTATTTAGGTCACCTTATGGACGTATAATGTAAATAAAATTAACACTTCCAATGTAAATTGAAGAGTGCTTACAATCGCCTTAATTAAAGGTAGCTAGTAGTGTAAATTATTTGGAAATATTGAAAGTTTTTTGATTCATTTTATGACTATTCTAAAGGCGCCTTATGAAATTTAAGTTCTTAATTCTCGATTAACTTATACTCTATTTAGGAAGAACGAATATTATTTTTTATATGTTTGGTATATGTAAATATAAACTTAAAAGTAAATAAATTTAACACCAAGTTATATACTTTAATTACATAAATTCGGTATAACAAACTATTTTCATACACATGGCAATGTCGCGTCCGCCATTAACTTGGAAATGCGCAATGTTTCGGAAAGTTAACTAAATACGATACGCAATATTTTTTGCATGCAATACAATCACTAGTGCAGAGTTATTGCCGGGCCCTTTTACTTCTATTGATCTTAGTCACGATATAATACTGATATTGATAGTGAAACGAATAAGTATTGTACATAAGTAGAAGAAAGTATTGCACAGTTTCAGTGATACGATTATAAAAGTGTCTTAATTGTATCAATCTTCTTTATTTAAGTAGTTTTTTTTTGAAAATAGACTTTATCTAATAATATTACAGTTTAATTTTGATTGTCCTTAGTTATTTTGGAGTGCCCTAGTTTTGAGGTGCTTCTAAAATCGTCCATGTCATTTTTGTGTTGGCATTCATTTGGTCCTGCCGGTGCCGGGCGCGGGCGATCGATTGCCGCAAGCACAACGATTTGTTTTCTACATATCATAAATAACTTTCGTAAAGTACTGTCATATTAAAAGTCTGAGTATTAATGAATTATACAGTTTTTTGTCCTTTAATTTGGATGATAAGATCATTTGAAAAATAAACTGTTACTTGCTATTTAAAGCTTAAAAACTTACATAATTTCTTGCCAAGACTTACATATAGTTTGGTCGATAACAATATAAAACGCCTGATTATTTTAAATATTAATTTTGGAAAGTAAAATTTGGCTAGTAAAATAAAGAAGCGCCTGATTGTTCTGGATAGCAATTTTGAACTAAATTGATTTTGCAACACACAAATATAAACTCTACCAAAGAAGGACCTTAACATTGCCGAAGGATTAATTTAAATCCACTTTCCTTTATCGATTAAAGGTCGGCGTATCTGCTATTGCGGATGTCTACGTTTCCCTTTTTTTTACCGAATTCAGCAGACCGCTTGTTCGTTTGCAATCCTTATGATATAAGAAACCATTTTTATATTTTTAAACAACTTGGGTGCGGCAGGTAAGTAACAACTAGATATGCACAATATTTTAATATTTTCTACTTAATTTAACTATTGAGAAAAAAAATAAACTACCTTCCCTACCTTACCTACTAATATGTGTGTCGGTGTTACTTTGGTTAAAATGAAACGCGAAAATGAAATAAAACAATCATTTGTAACTAATATTTATAAAATAATTCATGATTTATCATTTTACAAAGTAATCATATTTACAAACAGTATAATCTACATACATGACTAAATATGTATATAAATAAAATTCATTGACTCCCATTGTTTTTAACATTTAATGTACATGAAACATACAACACAACGACATTTTGCAGAATCCGACACAATGGCCAGACCCATTCACGGGATCATTAATACGAAATAAAAACAAACGAAAAAAAGAAAATGAAAAAAAAAAAACAAACACACACAACACAAAACAATAAACCGACACCGTAAGTAAAAATATGTATTCAAAAACAACATTATACGATGGGTTAAAACAATCAAACTATCAACTAGAGCCTCTATATTTTTTTTAAAAAACATTTTCTCGTAAAATATTCGAAACTAAAATTGAAATATATAATGGAATTCAATTAATAATTAATACATAAAAATACTTGTGTCTCCGCTGTTTCTCGTGTGATGGTCATTATGTCGGTTTGTGCATGTTTTACAAATGAAAACTTCATTTTAATTTCAAGCAAACACAACTCACAAGTTGTAGATTGCACTTAAATTATATTTCAATGTCAATAGAATGTTCTAAATTATAACAAAGTACATAGCATCAATTGCATTATTTACAATTTTTAACTAAACGCTACATAAATCGTTATTCCGTTAGTTCCTAAAGGGCTTCGACAATTTTGTCTAGAATATTCATTGTGCAAATTCGTATAAAAATAATAACTAAGAATTTAATACTATCAAAAAGAACAATACATAGAACACATTGTGTTATTTGTATACTAAAGAAATTGAGGTAATTGGTTCATGAAGATACATCGGGTAACTAGCCCAATGACTTCCAGTATTTACAGAGTACATTTTGGAAAGGGAACTCGAAATGGAATTATTGTTCATAATGTTTACAACGGTTTGTTAAATTTTCATTACAGGTACATCACTAGAACTAAAACTAAGCGGAAAAATTGCACAAAACAATATAGAGAGATAGAATGGACATAAATTTATCGTCTATATACATTCGAAGTATTAGCTCGTTCTTGTGCGTACGTTGTGCACGCACATGCGCACACACATGCGCACGCACATGCGCACGCACATGCGCATGCGCACGCGCACGCAGCGGTATTTGGTAACGAGGAGTCACACACGCTTACACTATGCCGACATTTGCGTAACACTTTACGTTGATACTTTCAAACGATAACTTAACATAAATCAGGTCACACAAAAAGATATGAAAAGCAAATAAAGAAAAAAAAATATACTATATCTTTATATAAATATTTTAATTTTTAAATATATCAATATACTAGTCTACATATGTGTGTATATAGATTATAATTCTTGGGCACATTTAACTTGTCGTAAAATATGTACGATAACATATCGTCATGTAACTCACGCACACGCAAACAGACACACAAGCCGCACGATCACAAAGTCTTCATCACTAGTGACTGAGCTCTAACACGCAAACATTAATACAAACAAACCTAGCTATACTTCAACTACGACAAAAAAAGTATCCAAAATTCACAATTTTTATATTCCTTTATTCAACGATAAAGGTCATGCGTTCATTTCTAAATACTCTTAGGAGTGCATATAAGAGACATTCTATTATATAAACCAAAGAGTATTTGGAAAATTCGGGAGCCGACCCGTTTAATTGTAACACGTTTCTAACGCGATATTATATCGCGGGACTCTATATAGAATGTTCGCATTCATTCTATACTATAACCAACAGCGGGCTTTCAGACTCTCGATGTTGCGTCGCTCATGTGAGCGAGTGCTAGAACTTTGGATGCCTTTCTATAGGTTTATTTAGTGAGGCTACTTGATCCTGTTGAGCACGAGGTCGGTGGTGACGACGAGGGCCTTCTGGTAGGGCGAGTCGGTGAGGTCCGCGGCGAGGCGCGCCGCCTCCACGCCGTGCTTGCGCGCCAGGAACCGCGTCTGCTCCAGCCCGCGCGACTTGTGCACCAGCTCGAACGCCTTCTCCACGTCGCCCGCCTCTTGGAATCGCCTCATTATCATCGGGTTCAGTTCTGGATACTGGAAAATTTAAACAAATCTTGTTAAAATATGTTAAACGACACAAGTCACTAAATGTCAGTTTCTGAGACCAAAATCCCCGCTTAAAATATATTGTTATCTCTGTTTTCTCAAAGATTGACAAGGATGATGATATGTCTTCTACAGAAATTTTGGTCTCAGAAACCAACGGTAAGAAGTGAAGTGTATAAAAGTAAACAAGACAGATAATTATACAACAAATGGCAAAGGACTTATAAAAAAGTATCGGTGTATGTTACTTACTTTTTCGCAAGCGAATAGTACGGGGGCAGTGGCGAGGCCGAGGCGCAGATCGGCGGCTGTGGGCTTGCCCATGGCCTGCGCAGAGGATACGAAGTCCAGCAAGTCGTCCACCAGCTGGAACGACAGTCCGAGGTTGCGCCCGTACTGGAACGCCAGCTCGCTCGTCGCCTCGTCCGCGCCGCTCAGCAGCGCCACCTATTAACAAAATACTTCGCTACAGCGCCATCTATAATAAGATATAGCTCCTAATGTACTACTATTATAAAAGCACCTCTTATTTACTACAACGCCATCTATATTGATACGAATTGACAGAATGTTAATGTCACCAGTAGGAACTCGAAATTTAAAAAAAAACTAACGAACAAGTATGTGGCTGTCTAATAAACGTTAGCATCAGCAATAAGATATAGATAGATGTTTTGTATTGAACTCGATACGAAACAACTTCAAGGCGAGGTGGCTACCCTACGTTGCTCTAATGCCATGTTATTATTCTATACCAGGTCTCGACAACTTTAAGATAGAGTTTAAAAACAAAACGAAGTGTAATTACCGCTTTGACAGAGTTGGCGATGAGCGAGGCGGTCTTGCGGTATGTCTTGGTGAGGTAGTGCGCGAACCGCTCGTTCTCAGTCTCCTTGCTACCGAGCTGCATGAACTCGCCCTGCACCAGGTCCGTCACCACCTGGACAACACACAAACACAATATAAATAAAGAATTATCAAAAATTACCGTAACATTTTTTGTCACTCGAATTAAAATAACAATCTTAACAGCGCAATAGGCAGTAGCTTCTTCCAGTCTGTAGTAGAACATCAATCATACAAATATTTTGCATTTTTTTTTAACTTGCAAGCTTTTCATTGTTTTTTCAGCTTAAAAGACACATCCATCACTTTTTTACACTCTTTATAAGAAAGCGTAATTACTAATTAGTTATTTTATTACGATAGGTAATCGCACTTCGTTTCAGGACAATGCTACACGTTTCCCAAGTCTATTAAAAAAAACAACTGCCTCACCGACTAAGGCGAGGCATAATTTTTCTACGCATAATTTACAGTTATTTTTGGCTATTACAATGATATATAAATTAATTCTACTTAGTTTTCCATAACGAGTTTTATATGACATAGTTCGGTTAACAATATATTTTTAATCTGTTATGACGGCATATAAACTATGGAATTATATTTAACGTTATACAAAAATGGAAGATAAAATTTTCCAACCGGAGACAAAATGTTCAGGATGACAAATTCAATGTGATTTATTCAACCAAATTAAAATCAAGCTGTGAATTAATTCAAGGTTTATAGGCGTTTTGTTGCTAAAATTATAATAAAAACCATTTTAAGATGTCATCCGTGTATTGGTCATATGACTTTTGAGTAGATTAGACACAGAGAAAATGAAAAATAAATGTACAAAATATTGCTTCAAACAATCGTATCAAACAATGATAAACATCAAAATAACCAATCAACAAATTATTTAGCTTCTCGTTAGATTGCAAGAATCACGTGAGAATAACACAATGGCGGGATGTTAAAATTATCGATGTTTAAGACATTTAACCTCAATGGATTAATCAATACAAGTACTTGGATTAATCAAAACGTATAGAGTTGTCTAGAAACGATTACATATCCATTGTATTCTTATAAATATTCGTAAATGAAGGGCACAAGCTGCATGCAATAAGGACTTTACAGCGAGCGGAAAAACACTAGCGTGTTTTTTTTAAATTGCTGAATAACTACAACTTTTAAAGATAGAAGTCTACATCGATTACTCTTTTTACTGCATTCTTATTGATTCGCCTTAATCTAAATTGAATTAGGTGCTAATTAAGATTAGGATGTCCTTTTTACTATGCTTCTAATTTTGGTAACTGTACCTTTGAGGCTACCATTTTTGAGATCTGCCTTTTAGTTATTATATTAATGTAGTATTTAATTTAGCCGTATAATAGCTTACCTGGCTAAGTACGAGCGTGACTTCATCACTGCGCAAGCGAGCTATCATCATCGACGCCACGGCGAGGATGAAGTCGCCGGCCATCGCCACCTGAAAGCACAACATTCACATTAATCTTTAAAATGAATCATTTATTACTTACTCACCAACACCTATAATTTTGAAATATTTGCGGTATACACATAAGTTTACGCATACATCACTCACTGCGTAACGATTGTCTGTAAGACATGACCACATTCGTTACACATGTTATAACACTAACAGTGGGTTTCTAAGAAATAATCTTTGTTTAAAACATATTTTTATCTCTATTTTGTCAAAAACAATGACAGGGATGACGATATGTTTTAACAGAGATATTGGTCTCAGAAACCTAAGGTAAAAATGTCACATCTATGACTTTCTACAAAAATCAAATAAGTTAATATTAAGATTCAAATGACTATAAAATTATCAACATTTAAAAACTTGACAGCGGCAAGTGGAGTAATATTTAATAAAAATAAACGTAATGAATCGTGCAGATCAACATCAGTTTTGTACCTATGTATACATTCTAGTTCATAACACTTTGTATTTAAAAAGCAATTTGCTGTTTTGAGGCCGTGATTAAAATCAGTTCAATGACAACTACATGCGGTTTGGCCGGCCTAGAACTAAGACGTAAATATTAGGTAATGTTAGACCAATGTACACTTTGCAAAACACTTAGTACTGTACTAAGGACACTAGTTACTACTTCTTTGATTTGCATACTTGATAGAGTTCAAATAGATCATAATTTTATATAACTTTGTTCAAGTTTTAAGGCAAAATACAAAAACAATTTGTTAAATGACATCGATTTAAATAATATGTTGCGGAAATATATAATATTTGAGCATAAAAACTTATTCTCACGACAGTTAAGTCAGTCTTTTGTACTTTAAAGTTTACGTTGTTGAACAAGTTATAAAAAAATATGTTTTAAGAATTCATTTTCTTTACACAAGACTATTAAACGAGACGATATTTTCCAGACTTTTCAACTTGTTTTGGAGCAAATGTTTTTTTTAAATTGTCGTTATTAATTCAGTAATTAAATATCAACAAGTATTTTTAACAGTCGTGACGTTTATCAACGGTAGTTTCTTTAGGAAGCAAGAAGTAGGTACTATAAATAATTGTTATGTGTACCAGTGGCGCTCATTTCTCCGGCTGCCATCAAGAATGTGTAGAAAGTTGTGATGCGGCGGCATACTAATGCAGAGTGCGGCCGTTTCGCCCGTGCCGCGCCGCCCCGGCCACGGACCGCGCGCGTCACGGCGACCAACAATACCAAGATAAAAGGGACAGTCCCAAAATACAAATTAAAAAAAAATTATCTTCATTATCACTACTAGATAAAGCTCATTCTTTTGGGACAAATTCGGAAAAGCTGTATTCAAAATGTTCACTAGTAATATGAGTTATGTTCTAAGATTTAAACATATCATAACCATATTTCAGAAGAGTACAACCTAAAAAGCGTGAAGTAATTTGAATAGCTCTGGCAATAACGTTTAATATCATAGCCACCCTACACAATTGTACTCTACAGGATGATACTGGTAATACTTATTACAGCCTGCGATGTTATAGTTTTTAGCTAAGTGTGTTCTTGATATCCCCACTTCTTTAGTATCCGCATAATTCCCGGCGCTAGCCTGGCAACCCTAGCAGGCATGCCGCTCATTAACAAACACTGGACACTGGTTAGCCTACATCCAGTGACCGGCTTATGCGCACCTACTTACGGACGAGCGGGAACTGAGCGCATTAAATCAAATTCGCTATCGGATATTTAACCCACTTACCGACTACCGACAACCGAAATCAATAGGTCGGCCTTGCGGCTACTTCCGAACGAAGAGCTATTGCAGCTCGGATGGGTCGCCGCTTGCCAATGCCAGACACAGTAATAAGATCATTCAACTATTTCGAAAGCTAATTTACGGATGCCGTATTACAACTCACAATACTATAAATTATTTCATTACACATTTATTTGCATAACTTTACATTGCTTTGCTTTTAATTATATTGTCTTATTTTAACACGTTATATTTAATTGTATGAAAAGTTTTTGTTTCTTTTTACAAAAACTCAAAGAAAATTTATAAAATTAACAAGAACAAATACTAATCAATTGTAGCTGTAACTAATTGAAGCAACTAAAATTTTAAAGTATAAAATTGCAAAATAATTTCTTATTAAATTGATCGAATTGAAAAATTTAATATAAAAAGGATGAAAAATTTTCTTGATAACTATGAAAAAAATTGTGCAAAAATAATAAAACAACATACAAAAAATTCTAATTTATTCATTATAATAATGTAAATTTACAAGAAAGTGAAAGCAAAATGATGCGAATGGCAATTTTCCTCGAGTACATCACTCGGCAGTGGGGGAGGGGTCCGGCGTGTCCGGGTCCACAGTGACGTCACAGAGAGCTATGTCTCATTAAATATTAGCACAAGCTAACAGCTAGTTTACGCTCCCATACAGCGCTAACATAAGAATCAACATATTAAAATATTGAAGACTTCATTATAATAATGAATAACAATTCCAAGACCATCTGCGCACGTAACGTTTCGCCGATGAATCAATAATCGATAAATCTTACATTTGCATAAATATTCAGTTAGTTCTTTTCGATTTGATAACCATCAGAGAGACAAGTCAAACGGGGGGTTGCTTTAGCAATGGCCATAATTAAATTTTAAAGTTCACTAGTGCTAACAGGCTTGCTTAATCTTGTAAATTAAAATGAGAACCCACGAATTACCTTTTTCCTAGATTTGTATACACTGACAAAGATGTATATAATTTTACTATTAGATTTATCACTGTATTTCACGTAAAACATCTTCAATTTAAAATTATTTTTTAGCAATAGAAAGTATAAATTATTAATCTCATAGAGTGGACAAAAACAGTTTTTGAGCAAGTAATAATTAAGGTCAGTTTTTTAGTGCGTGTGAGTAATCTAATTAATTTAATTGCTAAGAGTAATTGCTATGTATAAAACCGTAGATTAAGTAAATTCGCGATGTTTATTTAAAAGATTTTTATAACGGTTGTTTCAGATGTGTTTTGATTGTGTTTAGAAATTACTCTTGTTTTGTAGGAGTGAATACGATTGTGACTTATAATGCAGTAGTCTATTGAATACTTGGAAAGTATTATAAACAATAAGATTTTGTATACATGATAAAGATATTATTTGGACAAGGAATATGAGAACCGTAAGGGAAGGCGGCAATGGTGCGGTTCGGTGCGCAAATCGCACGCATTAGCACACTTTCTGCCGCAGCTCACGAATCGCAGCAAAAACGCTGCCGTTACGCGCGTGCGCCGCCAACACGTAACTAACGTGACGACGAACCAAATAATTACATTAACAACTGTAAACGTGAAATAGAACTAACTTTATTTGTTATCAACTTTAATCATCGTTTTTAATACGATTTATAAAATATACAATCGATTTTAATGCTTGAGATTTACTATTGAGTATTTTAATTAAAAATAGCATTCCCGACAATAATTGCAATCAACAATATCGGTACAATTGTCCAAAGAATGATGATAAGTCAAAATAATGACGTAAAAGTTAACTTAAAGGCAATTTGTGACAACTACCATGTACACTTTAGATCGGGATTTATCATGAGATGTTACAATAGCTAGAAATCTGGAACGAAGTGAGTAAACAAAAAAGATAGACATCCATACGAGTATCTATGTGAAAAACGCAATTCACATTGTTTACAATGTGCCATTAGACTTATATGCAGAGAGTAAAAAATCAAGCAGGTTTCTTTAAGAAAATCGACGTGTCATCAAAAGCCAGTTATTTCGGGCGTCTGCGATACCAGCTGTAGTCATGACGCATGATAAGAGTGAAAGGCTTACACGAGAACGCGTCGAAAGTGCCTAACACGAGCCACATGAATAATTTACAAAAATCTCTACGATTTCACGGTAACTTAATTCCGACGGCGTCAACGTTTCTATTCTATTTCATTAATTTGCACCGGTGTTTCGTTATGACATTAAAGTGACCGCAGATCAAAGGATACTAATAGAGGGCACTTCGTATTTTATTAATTTTCACAACTCTTTAAAAACTTGTAATGTAAATCGTATTCTAAGAAAACTTGGTTTCAATTCAATGAAGATAAATTAAAAACAAGAAAGTAATGTTTACATTAACGACGAAACGCTCTAACAAGTGGCACATCCGCGAGTTGTAGACATTTGCAACATTCCAAAGCGGATCTTGTGGTGTAGTGCCAACTCCACTTTTGTTACGAGCGTCTGAGCGGAGTGCTTTCGCAACATAGCCTTGACAGTGGTGGAAGGCAGATGGCGGACGGAAGGTGAATGTGGTGGGATGTGTGTCGCGCGCCCGACCTTGCCTCCCCCTCCACCTTACCCCATCCACTTCAAAGCCCAACCTAAGCTCACTGTATCACGATGTACAAGAAACGTAACACAGCATCATTATTATGTCTATGAATCTCTTGATGTATCTACCTTTTGCGTAACTTGCATTTATAGTGTTATAAATAGAATATGTCTGAAAATAAAAATTTAATTATGCAAATGTAATTGTTATTTAAATATTAGTCGTAGTAGCAAATCAGGTATTTTACAATAGTAAAAGTCTGTATCTTGAGAACTTAGGTTGATCAAAACAATGCATTCATAATATTGTTTCATAAATGCCGTAAGCGTATTTAACATAAATGAGTTCTAATATAACTAAGGTTTTTTTTTAATATTATATTTACTAAAATAACCTGTAAATATTAAAATTTGACAGTGAAAGGTTTTCGAATGTGAAACTTTTAAAAAATATTCGTTTATTACCAAGATTTATTTTAATATAAAATAATAAACACAAATTGATATTCGCGATCAAAGTATATTCGAATTACCGTCGATCGAGTGTTTCGTATCGAGTGAGCGGCTGACCCGCGCCCGGTGCGATGTGATTGCGAAACATGCAAGCACGCCAGCGATTAGGGGCCAACGAGAGAGCCATCGTTTCGAAA